CCAAGGGCACGTACTTTGCAGCTGTTGTAGCTAAAAGGTACCTTCCTGGTAGCCTGAGCGCTCTTCGTAGTTAGTTTCTAAACATTATTAGAATTCCCATCTAAAACTCTGGGGAGAGTTTTCCTTATTTTTCAGCTAGCAAACTTTGTGTTGTGCAAGGAACTTTTCAATCTTTATGGGCTTATTTGCTACTTTGGTATCTTAGTCATGATCATCCCAGTGTTTGAAATGGGAATGTAAACGTGCCTTTCTTCTTTTCTTATTTGTGCAGTTTCTGGCACAAAAAAATGAGGCTCTCATTTTCCAGCTCTGAATTTTCCCTCGAAGCTATGGCCCAGCTCTGCACACAGAGCATTGATAGCAAAATCTAGGCTCTTGTAATGTTTATATTACACCATGTTCAAGCCAAGCTTCTTGAAAAATGTTGTATTTCGTAAATACCTCTCCAGATTCCTGCCTTGACTTGCATGCAGTTTTCTTCCTTCCCTTCCTACCAATACCTCCTCATCCAAACTAGCATCACAGAAATTTCTTTCTAATCTTGGGTCTTGGTTTGTGCCTGGATGAAACAGCAAAATCATGGCTCATTCCCTGGCCCGGTCTTGGTTGCTCTCCCTCCTGTAGTAATGAAACAGCATGGAAATGTAAACTGCAAATGTGATGAAGTTTGTATATCCACGTGCCTGCAATTAATTTGCTTGGCACTTGTTCCCAGGCTTGTTAGTGTCATGTTTTTGTCTTCTTTTTCTGCACTGTTTCAGTGTTGCTCTCTGCTGGAGTCTCATTTGAAAGAATATGCATTAAAAAACATTTTATAAATGGTTTATTTATTATAAAATAAACATTCATCAATTTAAGCAGGAGTCTGTGAGATCCTATAGGGATGCTGAAGCCTGCTAGCTTTCACCAAACATAGGGTGGGATTCCCCGCTGGGCTGTTGAACATTCAGCCCCACCACTGGTGGAGCGGCAGGTCTGGCAGCCTTGCTAGCATGGCCATGCTCAGTGGCAGGGGTAAAGCCTCACTGAGAGGAGTGGAGGTGGTTTTGTGGCTGGGAGTCCTCTTCCCCAGGTTTGGAAAAAATCCTTCAAAAAGTCACCATAGTCTTACGTGTAGCAGCTTGCTGTGAACTGAAGGCACCGTTGCCAAGGCTGGGTTTGAGATATCTACTCTGTTGCCTGTTCCCTGCTTCATATAAATAGAATATGAAAGCATATGGATAAGATACAAACATGATGAGTGTCATGATTTAACCCCACCCAGCAACTAAGCTCACTCCCCACCAACGGGATGGGGGAGAGAATAAGAAGAGTAAAAGTGAGAAAACTCATTAGTTGAGATAAAGACAGGTTAATAGGTAAAGCAAAAGCCACACGCACAAGCAGAGTGAAACAAGGAATTCATTCCCTACTTCCCATCAGCAGGCAGGTGTTCAGACATCTCCAGGAAAGCAGGGCTCCATCATGTGTAACGGTTACTTGGGAAGACAAATGCCATTACTCCGAATGTCTCTCCTTCCTCCTTCTTCTCTCTGCTTTATATACTGAACGTGTTGGCATGTCATATGGTATGGAATATCCCTTTGGTCCATTGGGGTCAACTGTCCCAGCTGTGTCCCCTCCCCTCCCAGCTTCTTGTGCATCTCCAGCCTACTCACTGGTGGGTTGGGGTGAGAAACAGAAAAGGCCTTGAGGCTGTGTAAGCACTGCTGGCAATAAGGAAAACATCCCTGTGTTATCAATGCTGTTTACAGCACAAATGCAAAACACAGCCCCGTAATAGCTACAATGAAGAAAATTAACTCTATCCCAACCAAAACCAGCACAATGAGCCTAACCAATCTTCCTTACTGTCTATGCCTTGTGCCCACACTTCCTAGCCTTTCAGAAAACTTTGAGGTGCTATTTTTTGTTCTCCTGCCATACTTCAGTAAAAGTGTAGGCAGTGACGTGAGGAGCAGAGACAGGAAACCCTTGCTGAGAGCTGGGACCATATAGGTCCTACCAATGACCTGCAGACCATGGGCTCCATGGATGGTGCAATGGGACTGGGCATGCACCTTGAAAGCCCTTCTAGGCAAAGCCAGGGAGAGCAAAGCTATCTCCTCTTTGCAGCTTTGCTGGGGCCATAAATGGGCTGTTGAGAGTGCCTGAAGCACTCTGCTGCAGCTGCTGTGAAGACAAAGGGAAGCTTTATCCTCCCAGCCTTAGAGGGACAACCGCACAGGCTCTTTAACCTTTCTGTTTGGATAACTTTTAAACTGGATTGAAAGTAAAGCCTGGAGTGACCTTGCTGCTTCCATTTTTATCCAGTGACAGATCAGAGTGGCAGCAGGCTGGGAAACAAACTTGAGCTTTTTTTTGCCTTGCTAATAAATAAGGGAGAAAAATCTGGTCAAAAAACCCTGTTGGCTGCAGTAGTTGGCCTTAGCTGCCTCCCCTACACTGGAGACCAAAGTGCTGTGTCACCTCAAATGCATTGAGTGAGGGCCAGTGAGACGAAAGCAAGTGCCTGGGGGGAAGTTTCTGCTCTGTATTCATACATTGACCTGCTCTGAGCTTAAATTTTCAGTCTGAATAAGGCCTTTTGGTGCTTTTGAAATCTAATAACGTTAAACTGCTGTAAAAGAAAGTGCTACCTCAAAAGTGCTTAGACCGCTGCAAGTGAGAACTGGCACAGGGATGCCTCATGCAAGAAATCAGCTGAAGCGTTTAACACTCTGAACTGCTTTTTCATCTCCAGCCAGTGTCCACTTGCTTACAACCTGGCTGGCAGGGTATTTGATTTCCATATGCTTTGCTGTGTCCCCTGTTTTTCTGGAGGAGATGAAACTTGGTCATATGTGATCTCAACGCTTTCAAGGAATAAGGCGCTGCATCAGTCAACTGGCTGCTCCTCTCTGTGCAAACACAGTCCTCAAGTGCAAAATACAGCCGTCCTAGAGATGATAGTGACTTTGTCAGGCTTGATAGCCATAATCTGGGTAAAATTGCTGGTTCCTCAGGCACCTTAAAGCACAGGTTGCCACAAGCAAGGAGGGAACGGTTATTTTATACTCACCTGGGTTATACTGTGTATCCAGTAACAGCGACTATTCATAGAATCGTAGAATGGTTAGGGTTGGAAGGGACCTCAAAGATCATCTAGTTCCAACCCCCCTGCCATGGGCAGGAACACCCTCCGCTACACCAGGTTGCTCAAAGCCTCATCTAACCTGTCCTTGAACGCTATTGAGACAAGGTAATGATCAGAGTGGCATAGATGTGATCCCATGCAGCTATTACATTCATATTTGTTGGTCTGTGTGTGTCCCAGCTCACCAGATGCCAAGATTTGGGTGGCGTAGGTTGTCAGGTATCAGCTCTGCAGCTGGGCCTGCAGGATACAATAGCCTGGAGCCAAAGGCTTTCTGTACCTGAATGCTTGTAAAGGATGATATCTGGTGAGACCTGTGTCTTTGCACTTTCCTGTGAAAGGAGGTACAGCACAGCAAACTTTATTCAGGTTTCTTCTGTGTGAAGTCCAGCAAGCAATAGAGGCAACAGCAGGTCAATAAAATTTCTCCTCTTTCCTGAGTGAGAATGCTGCCTCCCATCTCTTCCCACTGAGCTACCCTCTGGATGCAAGTATTAAAATACTGTTTATGCAGCAAACGTCTGGGATATCTGTGTGCATCACAGTTAAGTTTGGGTTGTTTAAAATGTGCCCTGACATTGGAGGGCTTCTAGAGGAATGGTGTAGACCTGCTTGAATTTATTGTGGATAGCTCTACACGCTGTTTCTCCATCCTTGACAGTTTTAGATTATAAGCCTTTTCTGTTTAAAGTCTCTTTCCAGTTATCCATTTAATTTCTTAGTGGAAGCATTCTTGTTTTGCTAACTAAGTACTTAAATTGTAGCTGGCTCTGGACCCACAAATAATCTAGGAAGTACATCTGTCTGCAGTTGCAGAGTTGACAAAGGGCTCTTGTCAAAACAGGACATGGTTTTCAAAACTCATCCTAAGAGTTTATCAGCCATCTGGTTGCCGCATGATGCAATGTTTAGCATTGAACAACAGTTTTCATTCAGCAATACTGCAGCCACCCGTTCCCTGCTATCAAAAGTTTGAGAAAAGTGGCACTGTGTAGTCCATCTGAGGTGCTAACTTCTGAGAAATGTAGGTAGCATATGTTTCCCACAAAGTATCTCAAGCAAATCTAAGCACTGTACTTCTTCCTCACCATTTGTTTGTCTGTTTTCTGGGACATAGCAAAACACCAGAATGATGATGGTAAAAGCGGTTGGTTTTGGTCATAGGTCCTGATTTGTGTTGCTGTGAGTAATTGGGTCAGACCACAGACCAGTAAAGGTTATGTAGACTTTCTCTGACACATTATGTCATCTCAGTCTTGGTCCCATTGCAGACTTGGACCCTTTTTTTTTTTTTTAAATTCCCAAAAGCCTCTGTTTGTTCAGCATGGATACCACTGTATAAATAAGAAGAAAATTCCAGAGACCCAAATAAAAAAATATTTTTAGCTTATCCAAAGCAGCCCAAGTTCAAGAACAAAATGTCTTCTGTATCGTCAATACAGACAAGAACTGTTCCTCTTCCTGGCTACCATAAAAGCTGAAGCACACAGTAATCTGAATTGTCCCACTTAATTAAAGGATCTGTATCTAAGGGATAGGTTTAGCTTCTGCTGTTGGATGACCCCCAACTCTGTTGCCTGGGTTGGAGCCCATGCTCGATGTGTTGCCAATGGAGTCCCAAGGGATAAACCAGGACAGTCACTGCTGAGATCCTGTCTTTCTCCAGGGACCTCATACAACATAACTGAGTCATCCAAGTTATGTGCCTAAAACGAGGCTGTCTGAATTCCTCTTGATGTGGATAGTGCTATATATAAAAGACTGGGGAAATGTTTGGGAAATTGATGAACTTCCTGTCTTTTAATAGCAATAATGATGCTTACTGATGAAAACAGATTAACTATTCAAAATGTGTGTGTTGCAGAACGGAGTCAAAAGTCTGGTCACCACTTGTAAATGAGGAGGGAAAGACGCATCCTTATAAGATGAATCTGGCCTCCCAGCCACAGGTGAGTAATGGAGTATCTGCATGCTTTTACTCTTGTCCGACTTTCCAGCAGTTTCTGACCTGATCCTCCAAGGAGCTGAACATTTGTCACTCCATTGGCCGCACTGACGATAGTGCCATGCCCTGTACCTCCTACAAATCATGCCGTGAGAGACGGACTCCCTCCCTCGTGGTGAGAAGCCTGCTGCTGTGGAGAGCTAGTGGGATACCTTGCCAAGGGTAAGCTGCTTGGATCAGAGGCGTTGTCTCCTGCCATCTGCATGGCACAGAAGGCACTGTAGAGGAGTGGCTCAATAAATCATTACTACTGTTGCTAAGCGTGTTAATTTTCATAGATAAGAAGGATCTTAAGGGAGGAGGAAAATTATTCACTTTTATAGTATTTTCTGTTGGGTTTCTTTTTGTTGGTTTTTTTTTTTTTTTTCCTCTTACTAGCAGTAAGAGCTGTGGAGAAAGTGGAAGAGAAGTACACCAGTCTTTCACGTTTTTATCTGTGTGGCAGATCTTGCCGCCTCTGTCTAGGAGGTTGGTTTTGCAACCTGTTGACAGCCTTGCTTCATTGGTCTGCTGCCTCTGTCAAGTAAATGTAGTAAAAGTGACCTGTGCAAGGGCATTGCCTGGGCTAGATTGAGGAGATTACACTGCAAAAATCTCCAATAATTACACTAAAATCGATGGCATTTCTCTGGATTTTCACTGGGGCAGTGACATGGTTTCTGGCCCTAGCACACATCCCGTATGAGTCTTTCTAGCAAAATAAGTAGAGATAAAACTAGTTTGGCTCTGCAATTAATTAAGCGCTAATACGTCTGTTTGGGTTGGAAAGGATCTGAACCTGAAGTAGCACATGTGCAGCAACACCTGGCTTAGACCTTGATCTAGGATCTGTCCGTGCTCCCTTTCACGTCGAGTTGCTGTGTGTTGCTTGGCTCAAGAATGCAATGCAGCATTCTCCAGGTATTTCATAACTCAGCCAAGGCATGGCATGAGACTGAGCCATTTGGACTTAATGTGGGCTGGGGCCATATGGTGACACCTGCCTGTGACACTGTTGAGCTGAGATCTGGTCTCTGTCTTCTGCTGCCCAAGCTCTGGAGATGTTATAGTGCAAACCTTGAGACCTGGGGGCTATCTTTTGCCAAAGGAGTGGCAGAGTCTACACTGAGGCTTTGC